CCGAGTGAAATTGTTCAACCAGAAAGATAAGAAAAAGACCTACAGGCCCATGAGGCAGATCCGGACAGGGGGCTCGAATTGGAGCTAGTTAGCATATTACAAATTATGTTCGTCTGAAATGCAAATATCAAATTAGTGCAGATTGCGCACTGGCATTTCTTTCAAGATAGTGCACCACCAGAAGGTATATGGTCTATCCGGACCAATGAAATCGATATAAATTAATGTCTGGTTCGTCTAAGTCTTTAGTTGGTTCAACTCCAAAGTTCCTGTAGGCATCTGCATCAATACAAGAGGACAATTGAAGTCAGCTTAAATGAATAACTATGCTGTAGTTTAATATCCTTGTCCGTCAATTTTTCATATTTATTTCTACTGAATTTTAGCTTATTTTTTCTATCATAGTTTAATCATTAAGCTTGACCATGTCAACAAAATATGAATCAGGCCTTTTTATATAGTGTATAACCAGGACATCGACGAGTATATTAAATCTTGATGTATAAACCTTCTAAGGATAGGAGAAATGTCGAATCCACATTGGTTCAGAAAATAAATTAAGCTATTTGAGCCCCAAAAGAAAATTCAAATTCCCAAGTAGAGTGTCAATAGTAATCATCGAAATAAAAAATTCGTATAGCAGGCGTGTAAGTCACTGCGGAATGTAAATACAGGCCGATTCTGTGTTTGTATATACAACAATAGACAAAAAACCATCTCAACAAGGCTACTCTTGAGCATATAAATCAGCGGAGAAAGGACAAAGGTTGAATCGTGTACCTCAAATTGATAACCTATCAGCAAAAGTAAAAGAATAAAGACGATGCAAGATGAGCTTAAGTGATGTATCGTGAAAGTTCAAATCGAATTTGTAACAGCATGGAGTAAGATCGAAATGCTCAAAAAGGTTGCCGAAAATAGCAGAGCATATACAAATTGAGTGGCAATATGGGACATTTCAAATATAAGAGAACTTCGCCGGAGCGAAAAAAATAAAAAGTTCGGCCATTTTTGGAATCTCGATTCAAAATTAGATGTTCTGTCATTCACTTTTCTCCATGGGTCTTGTTTAACACAACCAAATGATGATAATGATGCAAAAATAAAAATACTGATTTTGTAAGCAATATAGAATATTTAAATTGTTGAATCGGATGAAAAAGATAAAAATGAATTGCTAAAGAAAATAAGTAGAGAAAATTATTCACTTCTCAATGTAAAGTTAAATCCATTGTTTTCTTGCAATAGTCTGGAAATATGATTCGAAGACAAAAGAAAATTAAAGTAGAAGAAAAAACACATGTCAAAGGAAAAAAGTATAGAGGTTCATTTAAGAAAGATTTATTTTAATAATGGAAATCGGAAATATTAGAGACGCTCAACTAACAAAAGCAATCAGCAAAATAAGAAAAGACAAAGGGAAAAAGCATGTAATTATAAAAAAAGGCTCTGTCACCACTGAGGAAAGATAATCTTTCGAATGATTACCAGAGATCATCCGAAAGCAATCTGTGACATGATCATAAAAAACATGAAATATTCCTAATGAATGAAAGAGAGCAAAGGTATCATATATTTTTAAGTATTTCATTCTCAATTGGCCGTCAGAGCGCAGGCCTCCATAGGTTGGTAAAAAATACAGAATGAAGGGAAAATAGTGGAAATGTCATTCCTTGCAGACAAAAGAAATCGCTAAACACAGTGAAACGGGGTTGAAATTGCATTCAAGATAAAGAAAGTGATTAATTAGCCATAGTGATGAAGATCAACGCGATCAATCATCGCAAATGACTAGCTTCTCGAATGATCGCCATACGTCATAATGACATATATCGTTCATATCTCCCCCCACGCGCTCCCCAAAGTAATCGAAGATATAGAGCCAGGGCATGGCCTCAGCTACTTCAGCAAGGACAGAATCAGAGACCCTGTTGCATTGGGTCAAGTTTAAAACAATAAGGCTGGGTTGACGAATGGGGAGATGAACTAGTGCCTCACCGATGATCAAATTCACACCAACCAAGCTGAGGTGACGCAGGGAGCAGCAGGCTTCAACAAGGCTAGCGAGACCGGCATCTGTGATATCCCAGCACCAGTTAAGTGCAAATGAGCGAAGCCGAGGACCGCAGCAGGAGCAAATTGCCTGTACTACAGTGTCCTCCACCTTTATTGTCAAGGTATATATAAATATATATAGGTAAATAAAGATGAAGTAACCAAATTCAGAAGTGTGTAATGGGTAAATGTTGTGATCTTTCAGATTGGCCACAACACAAATGTCTCCCGATTAAGTAAAATAAATGACACTGATTCAAGAGCTTTACTATCTCCCTCCGATAAGAATACATGCATATATTGAAACAATATAAAAACATGATAGCCTCGAAACCTCCTTTCTATTGGTATAGTGGTAAGATCTGTTGTAACTTTCATTTCGTTTTAAAGGCGAGATGAAGACATTTTTAAACTGGTATAAGTGTAAACCGAATGATTTGTATGAAAAGGTCCTTGGCAAATTGTCCCGCATCTCATTTGAATACGTGTGTCGTGTAATGAGGCAAAGTCAGAGTATGAAACAATGATCCATAAAACTTAACCAGATTTAAGGTAAATCAAGCCCCCCCGCCCAGTAGACGTATACGTTGTTTGATGCCCTATTTCTCAATAAATCATCCACCTTTTTCAAGAACCGACAGGATCGTAATATAAGGAGCCTAACAGAGTAATCAATTTGTGTGTAATGATCCAAAAAGATGTCTCTCCTCCTGCCCTTTCCCAGAATTCACAAATAAATATTAAGTAATCTTAAGGTGACATTTTCCATAATCTTCATAATTCCTGGTCCATATGATTAGCATCTGCAAGTAAAGACATCTTATCATCACTGACTTCGTTACTCCTACTCTAACCCCGGAGGTACGATAAGGAATCAAATTCAGAAACCAGGATTATTTTTCTAAGATACGTCTCGACCAAAGTTTGCATACTCTTTACTAAACAGGTTTGACAATCACTCTTTCCTAATTTCATGATGAAACCAGTCTTACAATCTCTTTGAATCATTAGCTTAGGGAAATTATCCAGATTCTCTTAGTCGTGCTGCAGAACTGAAGTTGTAATCCATATACTTAGCCAATAATTTTGAAACTAAAAATACTTCGTAAATTTGGTACGTGAATTTAATTAGGAATCCTTGGAAAACCGGCTTCGCATCATGTATAATAAATTTTAAAATTGACTGGAAAATTCTTCCTCATATCTAAGTTGCGTACATTATATAGATGAATTACTGTGTAAGATTCAGAAGCTTCATTTAGTTGGCTTTTGATATTTATAAATTAAGCAGTGGCTCAATCAGTTTTATTATCAATAATTCATCTCACTACTTTTTGACCCTCTAGTGAATAGCATGTCATGGAGATTATGGAAAAATATCGGAGAAATGTGATCATTTATCAGTTCGTCAATTTTCTATTTCTAATATCATATTCAAGAAATGCATTGGCACATATCGTAAAGCTACCTTATAGTTCTTGTTTACTGCCGTCTCGGTTTCAGGATCGCGTATAACCTGACTCATTTTCTCCAAATTATTTGGCATATTTATGTTCAAAAACTCCAACTTTTAAAGGCCCTCAATAATTTGGCCATTGTGCTGTAATTTTGCAAAATTTCAATTGATCTTCTTGGTTCTTCGATGAGTATTGAGATGTCCAAAACAGTTATTCAAAAAAGGAGGAAAATAGACTTCATGATAATCAGAAGTTGGTGCCATGCCGATAGGGAATGATCGAAATAGTGGAAATAGCTAGTGGGAATCGTAGCATATCGAACAAATGATTATACTTACTAAATATATTGCAGAGCTCATCACTAAAAGCGTGTATCTCATAAGAATTATGTCTTTAGAGATACTGTATTAGATGATAAGAGAACAACCCTGCAAAATATTTAGGATAACTTACGAAAAAATTAAGTATAAGTAGGATCTGTAATTTTGTAATTATTATATACTTGTTATTCAAAAATGAAATAGAATAGTTAAGTTAATTTTAAGGAAAATTGAGAATAAAGGGAAATGGATAGAAGAAGATGAAGTCGATTGAGACTAATGAGTTGAATTCTTAGAATTGGCGAAATATTTGAAAACAGCAATGAGAGTTTTATGGTATGCATCCAGCGATGCGCCCATTACAGCGATATCCATAGCGAAAACAAAAATCAGGTATGATCGAAGATATGAAGACCAAGATGGTGTGGCCTTTTGTGTGGTCGGAATCTCCTTTCGTTGTATAGAAGTTGTTTGACCTTGTTTTCGCAACTTGGTAATAATGGTAGGAAGACTTATAGAAACGCACCTTGTACTGAGTCCATTGTATGCATAATTATTTCCAAAGTCGGATCGTGGACGTGGTACATTCCCAGACGTTTCGTCGGCATCGTCAGTGAGTTTTACCATTCTTAGCACTATATTACAACTCATCAAATAAACAAGGTGCGTTTATATAAGTCTTCCTACCATTATGATCAAGTTGCGAAAACAAGGTCAAACAACTTCTATACAAAAATCAGGTATGTTTATCTAACTATAATAGACAATAACTCATGAAGACAAAATATGTGTTGAAAATTAAGAGGAAATTAGCCATTTGAGACAGAATAGGTAAGAGAGAATGAAAAAATCCGTCCACCCAAAAAGGTTGAATTTGTGTATAACTTGAGTTTGTTTTTAATAATGGTATTCAACCAGCTGAACCAAAACATACGATAGTCCCTAAACCGCATAAACATGGATACAAGACGAAAAGAGACCAGAACCAACCTTAGGTAGAAGAGAAGACAGTTAAGGATGTTCATTTAGATTAGAAAAAGTTGCTGGCTACATTCTAGTGAATGTGGTAGGTAAAGCGTCTGATGCTGTAAGCTATAATGCCTACAATGGATGAGGTCATAGGATTGTCTATGTTCCACAAAATTTGCCGTTTCCTCTTACCAAGTTGCAAATATTAGGTAATAAATACGAAAGTGGTTTGACCTCGTTTTCGCAACTTGGTCGTGTTGTCAGGGCGACTTAGTTGGACGCACCTTGTCCGAAATCCTCTGATGTAGTTATCATAATTTCCAGCATCGAAATGTGGACTTAGTATATCTACCCATTTCGTCGGATTCTTAGTCGGCATCGTTAGTGAGTCTTGCCATTCTTGGCATCAAGCTACAACTCGTCAAAGAGATGCCTATTACGATGCCGGTGAAACATCTGGGAATGTACCGATTCCATGGTCCGATATTGGGAATTATGATAACTACTATAGCGGAGAACTTCGGACAAGGTGCGTCCAATTAAGTCGCCCTGATAACACAAAACTTGACGAAACCACTTTTATACATCGAAAAAGGAGCCTGTGACCATAATAGAGGCACAACATCTTGGTCTTGATATCTACAAATAAATATGAGAGTTACTCACCCTATTTCATTTGAGGCCATGAAGGAATAATAGCTAAATTTTCCCACAATGATAGCTTCAGGGCTTATATTTTCAATAAATTTCACATAGTTTTGCTTCCCAAAAGATATTCTCATCAGCACCCATGTGGTTAACGAGTCCAAACTAAATAAATGCGACAAAAATAAGCTGAAAGTGGGGGAACCCATGAAAGCAAGCTCACTAAACTAGTTATAGAAGCTGTAAAAGAACAGAAGAAAGTCAAGTAGGTTGTGTGTTTGTTTTAGCAAGAGAAGGTGCCATAAAGTGTTTAAATGAAGAATGTACGATGAAAATGTTTGTACGAGAACAAGAGAATGAGACTCGACAACTTGGCGACCAAAATAATAAGGGTTTTTTATAAGATAAGTTCGTGCGATTGGAAGGCTTGCTAAAATCCCTGTTTTTGTTAATCCAGTCGAGGTCCATCAAACTTCAGTATGTATGCATTGTCATACTATGTTTCTATGGTCCAAGAATCCAGGTGGCAAAAAGGGTAGTACTCTCTAAAGGATTATGCTGCTGGTAAGGGAAAAGCTTGGAGACCAAGTAAGATCAGGTTGCGCCAGTATGGTAAACTGGAGCCAAGGTCATGAGGTAATTGGATAGGTCTCAAACCTTCATCTCTATATACTTTTTGACTTAAGGGAAAGACCATTGATTGTATGGGCGAGAGTACCGTCTAGGAACATCAGATGTCCAAAGTTGTATAGGAGGAAAGCAGAGCATAGGAACCGTAATGACAAATGCAAGCATATGATATGAAGGTATACGTAACCGAAGAACTTACTATGAATAATGGCGAATTTAACATAGAATTTGTGACAAGTGGAACCAAGTTTCTAAGTATAAAAATGAATAAATTTGAAGTTAGTAGCAAGGAATTTAAGCATTTATTTCACATCTAACCCACATATCTTAAAAGGATTAACCGGAATATAGTGCTGACACTTAGATTTGTCTAAATTTGTGCTTAACCAAAGCATTGTGAATGAAAGCATCAGGTGTTTAAAGCAGAAAAGTATAATCAACCAAAACAAGTTCATTCATCCTAAGTATAGGTGAAAATATTGGAAATATTATAGTCATCTGAGCCCATAATGTCGAGACCCCATGTGTGGTGATTAAAAGAAAAATAAATCACATTTGCATACAATATAGAGTTATAGTGCACTCTAGTGATTATAACGAATCAGTGCGATAAAACTTGGCTACAGAATTCGAGAAGCATCATTATGGAGAGGCCTTGGATGAGCAGAAAGATAAGTCAAATGATGAAGTATTTCCTGAAAACAACCCAGCTTCTCGGTTTGCTATCAAAGCTCTGGTATATAGACGCCTCTAGCCAGGTCTTTTTTAAAATTTGCAAATATACTTAAATTATATCAACATTTTAACGGCTATGGTTAAATGCAAATTGCAATCTAAGGATAAAACTTTCTATATGCACGGTTATGTTCATTAATCGGAATAAGGTAGGTGTATTGAAAGTATCTACAAAATAGTGCATTATTAAACAGTCGATGGATAGTTGCATCTATCCAGTATGGTCGAATTTATAGGTTCTGTTAAATTAGTATGGAAAGTTCAATATTTACTTGTAGGTTGTCAAATCTCAGTTCTCTGATTAATTCATTCAGATTTCTCCTAGCTTTCTGCCCTTTTGTGGTTATATTAAATTGTTGCGAAAAGACATTAATATAGCGTAAGCGCATGCAGAATCTCATCAGACTTAACTTATACATTCGAAAGTGCACCTTTCATGTCCAAAGTATTCTGGAAAGGCATTTAAAAATCCGTTTTTCTGTATTCGAGATATGTGAATAGCTTAAAATTAGTTTCAATAAGCCTTTTGATACCCAAAAAGTCAATTATGAGTCATATTTTGGTGGTTGATTAAATATTAACTATACAATAATTATTATTGAAGCTAAGCCCTTTTTTACAATTTTGTCATGGATAATAGCAGATGCTCCTCATAATAGAGGCCAAGGCCATCAGAATATACAATCCAGTAATATATTCAGATAGAGTATCCACAAAACTTGATTCTAGGCTGATAATATTCTGTTTCAGCACAGATTTCGAACCCTAAGATATTTCTGTTGATTGCCTGCATCATCAAAGTTACCCATACTTTGATATAGTGCAGATGGAAATAAAGTTATTAGAATATCTCATTTTCGACGCAATAAAGTTAATGTCCACGAGTTACTGCAGAAAGGTGACAGCGTTTCGGTTTTCGAATGTATCCAAGATTTTCTGTGCCTTCCAAGCGATTTCAAAAGGATGTCCCTAATTACAAAGTGTCTTATGTCCTGCAAAGCTCACTTACTATTCCTATGCAACGCTTTACAGAAGAATTTCTCCTGAATTCTTCAACAGAACAAATAGCATTAACTTGCCATAGATTGTAAGTCATTAGCAGAATCATTAACCTGCTTCTGCTTATCTATACTTGCGCTGTGATAAGCCTAGAAGTGATACAAACTGGATGAAAAGCAATACACTAACTTAGATGCCGTGACGCTTATATCATTTTAGTTGGTAAACTAAACCTCATCGCAAAATATACAGACACCAAATATCCCAGAACACAAAAGAGAACTTATAAAATGTAGTTCCTTGGATAGCAGCAATTCAACGACGCTACAAAAGATAACACATCAGAGAATAGTATGTGCGCATACATG